CTCTCTCTCCCCCCCCCTCTCTTCCTTCTTCTCTCGCCCTCTGCTTCTTGCTCTCATTCTTTCGTTTATTCATTCATCCTCTTGCGCGCGCGTTCTGCATGTGTGTGATTTAATCCTTTTTTGCGTCTAATAGTAAGTTTCTTGCTCGAGCCAGCCGCCTGGATTTCGACGAAGGTAGAATCGTCTCGTTTCGTCGTAGATGAAGATAGCAAACATGAACGGCAGGGCTGGTAGCCACCATACGAATCTACAATGTACATGAATTACATGTTGCTATTTTATTTATGCTGCGTCGCATTATGTACTATTATTTCAAAATTAATTATAATACAATAGCTATAACATTAATATTGCAATCTTTATACATATATAAATGTTATAGTAAATATGTATTTACTGTATAAAGCATTAAATATAAAATTATTTATTACTTTTATTACTAGTTACAAATTATACAACAAAAGGAGCAAAAATTAATAAAAAATACGTACTTTAATGGGAACATACGAAGACCTTTATCCATACCGGGCGTGTAACTTAGGAACGCAGCGAGGGCGGTCTCAAACACGAGGCCAAAGTTCAGAGCCCAGTTTCTCATACCTTGGTGAATAATTGAGTTGCGACGCGTTTTGCAAACAATCAGATCAGCCCACTGCACAATTACGATCGACACGAAGAAAGCAGTATGGCAGGTGAACTCCAGTGTTTTACGGTCTCTATACGTCTGTTCGTGAAAATATAATCAGTCATATATTATTTTTCTAATTACTTTACATTTTGCAACTTGTTGTTAGTCGAGAAATTCTGAATTCATATCTGACATAAATTAGTTTCTCTTATTAATAATTAAAAGTTTGCAAATATTAGATTACAAATAATTTTAAGAATGAACCTGGAGAATGGGTGAGATTTTTAATTCATCGATTGATCAATTTAAAATAGAAAACACGCCCATTGTCTACGTGTGAATATTTTTTTATTAATTGACAAAAGAGACTTGATTTACTGAGAATAAAATATCAGTTTTCGTTTATCTCAATTTTTTTCAACATTCGATCGATTGTGTAGGTCTATTATAACATATTTACCCATTCCTGACCATAGCTGTCAGTAAGATCATTGATAGCCTTAGAGTCCCATTGCTTTCGAATGCCAAACAGATACAGAGGCAGGAATCCATTCTCAGCCATGATGACAAAGTAGACGAAGAAGCCGGCCGCGGCTTGAATCATACCGATTTGACCGTATGCCATCGAAATAAGCCTAGATACAAATAAATACGTTAATAAATTTTTGTCCCTGTGCAATCAATCGCTCGATATTAGCTTTCGAAGAATCCTGCGTTTTGCAGTAATTCATTTCGTTAAAAACAACGCGAGCATTTTATCCTTAAAGAAACGATTTTCTCAAATTTTAAAAAGAATAAATATGCGTCTCAAAATCTTTGATCAAAGAAAATTAGCATCTGCAGCAATTTTACACTTGACATTTCGATTTTGAATAGCAAAAAGGATTAACATGTTTCAAGATTCTTCGAAGTCTAAGTAATCTTCGTCACATCAATAGTCCGACTTTTTGATGTTATTTCTAATAATCTAAGTTCGTGTTAAAGTTATGAAAGCCATAGTTACCGGCGGTTAGGGGCAAAATGCAGATTACTTACCAATAGGTAGACTGTTAACGATCGATTCTTGACAGTGAAGCATGCCACACAGAGCAGACAGATCAGACAGACAGACAGATCAGATCAGACAGACAGATCAGATCAGACAGACAGACAGACAGACATACGAGTAGACACAACTATTGCTTGCCAATTCTCACGAAGGCAAGCTGCACAGTTAACATCAAAGCTGCTCATTTCTAGCTAATATTTTGTACTAACAAAGCTTAGCCCCACGCACATCTTCAGATTAATTTGTGAGTTAATGTTACAATGAAGTAATCTACTGATTGGCGCAAGTATGTTATACTATATCGAAAATTTCAAGTCAAAAAGATAGATCAAGTCTATAATAAATAAGACTTTAAATATAATTTAATATTCTATATTTAAGATCTAATAAACGACAAACTTAATGGTCTTCCTCTAAATGCGATTTAACATAACAATCTGGTTAAAGAATCTTCCTATCGTTATTATCAATGTAATATGATAAATATTTATGCTATATAATTATCACATTTATTAGTAAATTAGTTGAAAGATTATCATTACAATATAATGTAATGCTAATTGTAACAAAATTGAAAAGATAGACACAAGAATTTCTTACTTTTTTGAACCGTAAATATAATCAATAATTTACGATCAACTAGACTATTGATACGACAGTTTATAATTAACCAGATTATTGATATGATCATTTGTTTCTTCTTTGCAGCTAATTATTGTCAGTATCGTTGTATTAAACTTACTATTACAAATTACTAATCAGATCGCGTACAATCTATACTATCAAAGCAGTTAGTACAAAAAACGTGCAGCGAGTATCTGTGGGCAGAGTTAAGCTAAGGAAACAAGTCGTATGCTATTGCACCAGACTAGTCATAGTTAAATTAGTCGTACTAAATCGATAGCTGATTCGTCAGATCCAGTGGAAGATGTAGAAGAGTTTGTAATTAACAAATTAGTGTTCGCGCAAGCGTGCCAAAGGCATCGCAATGTCAAATGTAAAGAAAAAAAGATTGCAGTTCGGACAATACAATTAAATTCTCGACGTTGAGGCAATCATCGAATGCGATAAAGCGGCAGAAGCCGATAATTGCAATGCGATCACGCTGTTCGCTGGAGAGAAGGAGGTTACCCAAGCCGTGCATGTCGAGTTGTTAGTTTTCAAAAGCTGCTCTCGGCGGCGACTTCCATGAGCTTGCTCTCTAACGTCAATGAGAAGTGTAAAAAGGTGAAAGATTAAAGATAGCAAAAAGGAAAACATTCGAGGCGAAACGTGCAGTCCGCGGAAAACTCGTCGGTAGCTCGAATTCACCGTTTTTCCGGCGAATGTTTTCCGACGACGTTAACCCTCTGTTTACCGTAGATATTCATTAGACCTACATTTGTCTCTGGAAATTTTTCTCCGTTACCTTCTCTACAAAATTTTTATAGGATGAATATACGTAAGACATTTGCGGTATGTATAATATTAACGTAAGAAAATATCAGAAAATATCAGAAAATCATATTTCTTATATATAATGTATATTCATTAATAAAAAAATTTTAAAGTTCTCTTATAATATAAACTGAAATTTTATATACTCCCAATATTTGATTATACAATAAATCTTCAGAAAAATAAATGTAGATCTATTGAGCTAGACAATTGGCAGACTAAGGAGCGATGCTGTCAATATGAATCAATCTTTTTTTAGTTTTCTTAAATGTACAAAAATTTGTTAGTATCTAATATCTATAATAACTAAGTAATCAGTTATTGACAGCAATGAAGTTTTCGGTGATTTCGCCCGCAATTTGCGCGCGTACATCTAGTGCAACGATTAGAAAAAGTAACACGTATAAAGTTGAAGCTAAATGATCGCAGTGTTAGTCGTTGATCGGATTTTAGGTGTATCTAAAAAAAAGCATTCGGCATTCTCAACATTTGAAAACTGTTCTCTATAGGTAAAACTTGCTTGTGCTCTATTGCTAATCAACTAGATTCTTAAAGTCGGATAAAGTCATTTGTTTGCTAACGCAGAGTGTCTACCGAGTGTGTTACACTTACAACTAAGATTTTCGAAACGAAGAAAAGTTAGGATTTCTATTACGTTACTAACGACAATCTCAAAAATTTTACAATCTTGGAACATAATAATTTTATCCTTTAATCGATTTCCTTCTGTAACTAAAAAGTGTGTAACGTTTTTACGAAAAAGAGAAGACAGTGATACACTATGATTCGTAGCCAAAATCAGTAGACACTCTGTTAGGTGTTGTTATGTATTAAGTGTCGTGTGTACACATTGCGATCTAAATTAGAAGTGTATAATAGCCGCCCCAGGACAGTTATTACTGCATCATGCAGGTGAATAAAGTGCGACACGCGTAGACAATACTAGGACGGCTGGTTACTTCTAACTCAGTTCACAAGCACATTTATATGTACGTGTGTACGTACATGTGTAAAATCTACTATCGTCAGAGCAGTCAACTATTGTCAGAAACGCGACGTCATGTATTACGTGCTATTCATCGCAAAACGTACTTTATTCTATTCACACGTAACGCAATGTTGTTTCATCATCGGTAGTAGTTATCATCGATTAACCCTTTGTTCGGCAAATACTAGCTAATCTATCTCTTCTAATCTATCTCCAAGTACATCAGTGTTAGTAGTACATCAGGCAAAATTCGCGCATGCTGGAATTGAATTTTCCGGTTGTTGCTTCGAGTTTCTACTTGCCAAGCAAAGGATCAATCACGTCTGACGGCCCTGGCGGGTATGCTAGTGTGTGTATATGCGTGTATATGTATGTATATGTGAAAACAAGTAGATAGTAGTGATAACGGTAAAAACGTGTACGTGAGTTGACGCGGTACGGACGTAAGTGCAATAGGTTTCTGTTGGTTTTTTTTATTAGGTGGGTAATTGGGAGACCCACCTTCGGTTGACTAGATTGTCTCTGTAAGGATCGCGTGGCTGCCGTTTCATAATGTCCGACTCCGGTGCCTCGTAGGCTAGCGAGATGGCCGGCACCTGCCATCCACCACTGATTAGAAAGTGTGCTAACTACCCCTCACCGCATTACAAAGAAGTTATATGCAAGAGATATTATACCATTATTGGTACTTTAGGCACATACACTCTCGGTAACGTGTATGTACGCGCAGTGCGAGCGAAAGAGATAGAGAGATTTGGAGATCGCACAAGACAGTTCAGCGTCGATCACATTATACGTATATTACCGACGATATTACGTTTTCATGCGAAACTCCCGAAAAGATGATCTTTCAAGGTGCTCGACCAGTTCCATCCTAAACGCAGCCTGTCTTACAATTAGAAATTAATTGCTCTTGCGTACAATTGCGTTAGAAAATAGTGCCGTAAAAATGCGTTAGAAAATTGCGTCGAAGTGTAGCGAAGAGGACCTGGACAGTAGCGAATACTGGCGAGTGTACTTGTGCATATTGAATTAGGCGCTGCGTTTAGACAGACGGCCTAGAAACGGCCCGAGAGAAAGAAATCGTTTGTGCTATATCTGAAGCAAGTGAAAAAAGATCAGGATTGAAATTACATACGCGGACCTTCCGTCCTTTTTCCACTTTCACGTTTTCACACTGCGAATCTCCAATTATTTTCATTATCATTGACTCTCATAGTCTCCAATTAAATTATTCTCAGAGATGCTCGATGAATCCGCATATACTTATACAGGGGAATAAAAAGCGTTACAATAACGTTCAACGTTCGTGGCAGTTTCTAGCACCGGTTTTGTTACGTACACTACAAAATTCGCTAGACGTACTCAATTTTTCATTCAAAAATTGAAATTACAAAACTTTCTTCAAGGCATCAACATTATCAAAGCCTACAAATTGAAAAATATAAGCAAGATAGATGGATGTCATCGAGCACTTCTGAGAAACGCAGGTGAAAAAAAATCCCTTCTCTTTCGTGCACTTCGACTGAGTACAACCTCAAGCACTCTTTTCGTTAATACTGCGGCACAACCCCCTGATGCACATAACCATTCTCTCATTGTGTCGCATCGTTGCAAAAGATATGCTACCAAGCTCTCTCTAACGAGTCATCAAATCATTTTTAATTAACAGAATTACGTTTGTGCACGAGGGGGCTACCACGGCAATTTCCTACTTCCAATTAACATATACATATGGATTCCCCCGGTTAGCAAATGTTTTTGTAAAAGTATATCAGTCGTTTCAGCACCCATTAGAAAGTTGCCAGTTGCAGAGTGGGTAGAAGGCAGCGGCAGTAGGCAGCGCATTACAGAATAAAACGTGATAGGACTGTAAAGAATAAAAACTGCAAGAAAAGTTCATGACGCTCAAAAATGTACAAAAGTGTCTTTCTCTTTTGGCGGTGATATATGGTGGCAAGTAACGAACAGTATAAGTAAATAGTAAGTATAGTATAATAGTAGTAATATATAGAGGTAGTAGCAGCGGCAGCTGTGATATAGTAGATAAAATAGTAATGGCAATAAAAATTCATAACTATAAGTATAACGATGCTGGCTTGTGGTTGTAATAATAATGATAATAATAAGACTAGTAGACGAGAACAAGAATAATAATAGTAATAATTACTGAGCATCAAAGATTAATGTAAATATATATACATATCTATATACATAATATATACCACTCCTGAAAGAAGATCTCCATGACTCAATTTTTCAACATTTCATTTTCACCTTTATAATTGCAGGAAATATTACTATATAAGTTACAATAAGTAAAAATCTTTCACATCTAAACGAAGTGCTATTTTAGTTGAGCTACCTTAGGAAATCGTGTACCAAGTTACTCTTTTGCAAAAATTTTATTTTTTATTTGCTGTAATACTCTTCCAGGAGTATGCAATATATGTACGTGTAAGATCGATTAGAATTCGACTAATTGATTAAACTTAAGTTTCGTCGACCAGTCCGAAACATTAATTAATTTCCACTATCGATATTTTGTGATGCATTTGGAACGAATCTTCGTTTCATTCTGCCTTCCCTAAGCGATTGCGTCGACGAAACTTGCTAAATTATGAAATGACTAAGAACGATCGTTGCTCAACCGACGATGAAAGAGGAAGAAAATGAATCGCTTGATGCAGAGCTTATTTTTCTAAGAAAAATCCGGTAAATTCTACAGAAGAAAAGAGAAAGGAGTTGTTGTTGCAAAAAGAGAAAGAGAAAAAACTAAGAAAAGTATGCAATGCGCGTCACACAGGTGTAGAAATTCCACGACAAACCTGCGGCTGTTCTGCATCTATCGATTCAATCAATTTAGCTAATTGTAAGTATATAGCTTTATTTGCTACATAAAATTATTAAAATTAATTTATGTATATCTGCGAGATAGAAGCAAATAAATACAAATTTCTAAATACAATTTCACCAAAATTGTGATTTCGTTTAATTTGGCACGCAACAATCATGTTCTTGTTCATTCATACGTACACCGCGTTAGACTATCAGGTGAATTTTCACTAACAATAAGTCGTATAAAACGAACCAATTCTAAGTTGAAAAAAATTCGTTTTCATGAGCGAGGAGCAGCAAAGATAAAACCTGGCTCGAGACAACAAAGACAGCCAGGAATAATGGAGGTAGATAGATAGAGGTAGAGAAAAATGATAAAAAAAGAAAGAGATTAAAAGAAAAAAGTCACGTTTCATATATGCAAACCGACGTATGAATGACAATTCTATTCTATATAATGCTATTCTACTCAAATGTCTACGGAAAAAGAGAGATAGAGAGAGAGCACTACCGTTTACTCTATGAGAACATTTCGGGCTTCCGGAACGTGCGAAACTTTCTTATCGTTCAATCTTTATGTTTGAATCTTCGTGGTACCGACAACGACGCGGAGAGTATTCGCAAAGTATAAGTTGCACATTTATGATAAACATCACACAATATTCACAATACAATATACAAATTCCCTTGCATTCCTTGATACTTGTCACGATTTAGAGAGGGAAACTCAGAAACTTGCAGCGACAGGGCGCAATATGAAAGATGGTATGAAAAAAGAATATAGAGATAGAGTATGTAGCTGAAGAAAAAATTAATTCATATACATAAAACAGCGTGCACGCACGCGAGAGAAGACAGAGAAAGAGAGAGAGAGAAACGAAAGAGTTAGATAATGGAAAATTAAACAAAAATAAAGACTTCCAAGTGGGGAAAAAAGGCGAGATAAGTAAAATGCTGAAGGGACCGATCATGCGAGTTCTTCACAACGACGTTTATATATGTTTCGTGGACGTCTCAGCAACCCATATACACCTCAAGCCAGTGGTAAACCAGGACAGATGACGACTGCAGCGAGAAATTATAAAACGATAGGAAATTGAGCTCAAGGAGAATAAAACTAGAGATACTAAGTAATAGAGAATTAGATATGAGAGAGATAGATAGATAGATAGAGAGAGAGAGAGAGAGAGATATACAGAGAGGCTTTTACAATGCGATTAGCTTACCTTAGATGTAACGAAACAATACTAATACGACCGAGGATCGTCATGATGGAAGCGCCTGTGACCGTCAATATAAAAGGAAGAGAAAATTCTTCGAAAAGGAAACATTCACGATTGCCCGTCTCGTAATTAAATCGTCTCACTTATTAAAACATATATTATAAAAATTTACTTTTTCGCAAGATAATAGTGTAATTATAGTGTAATAGAGTAATTACTATTACTCCTTTTTATAACAATACAATTATTTCGAAATTTTATAAAAATTCCGAAAACATCGACGACAAATCATAGACGAGCAAGCGTCGCTTAACCAAATTCAATCCAGCTTAACGTTAGAGCGAATATAGGATATATGAATAGAGAGAAGAACAGACTGAAAATAAAGCTCGAGTGTTTCCCAGCGACCAAACACACCTTAGATAGAGCATTGCATCTGCGTTGATCTGCGTGTACCATATCCCGTTATTACCTTATTCACGTTTTGTCCTAGCATGTCCGACTCGACAACTCGAGCGATAGGCTTGGCAAATTAATCCCTACATCGCGTGAATTTTATCAAATGACCTTGGTAACAATAATGACCAATGTAATTGAAGTATTTTAAAAAAGAAAAGAAAAATGGAAGGAAAAGCAAATTTTTACTACATAAAGTATTTATAAAGACAATACTTGAAAGATAATATGTATAATATTGTTCAGTAAAATTAATATCTAGCGTGTAAATCAAAGAAATTTAAAAATGTACATTATTTATATATGAGGAATCAATTTGCCCGCGAATCGTCGTTACCCAGTTTACAATTCCTGTCGTACGTATGTATCGAACGACGACGAGTAAGAAACGTGTAGCAATGTATGCATGTGCCTTCCCGCATTAAACTTTATATCGAATAGACTCTTTATAATAGAAGATAGAACGCACTAACTACTAAAGTCGTCAATAGAAAGACGAAATATGTAGCCAATAGAGTGAGAGAGCGATCGCCGTGTGATTGAATTTCCGAAGTTTTACCCGATTTAAAAAAAAAAAGCTTAAATAATTATTTGAGAAATTCACTTTAAGAAAGTTAGCAGGTTTTATCGAAATTTCGAAACATGTTTGAACTCAGTTTGTCAATCGGGAAAATACCTCGAAAATACAGTGTATCATCATCGATGACTCTTTCGAATTACAGACAGTCATTCTGATGTAGCTTGTCAATATTCATTGTTGATGTGTTACCTTTCGTTAACTAGCTTGTCAGTGAAGGGGTTTCGTGGTTGTCGCTTCATAATATCGCTCTCTGCCTCCTCGTAGGCTAGCGAGATGGCGGGTACCTGACGTCACATTATCAAAGAGCTCAGTAATAACGCCAACAATTAAATAACAAGAATGTCTTCGAATGATGTTGAAGTAAGAATGTTGTCGTGTCGTTTATTTTATTAAAGCTATTAATCTTTTTCCATATAATCTGATAGTAAAATCAATCTTAAAAAGATTACAATCGAATCGATATCGACAGCATTCTTATGCACAATGAAGCATAGAGAATAAACAAAAGATAATCAACTGAAAAATAAAAAAACTAAATTGATTAAGAAACTGATTCTGAAAGGAATCAAGGAAGTTCAGAGGAAATTTGCGATATCTCGCGTGAATAAATAGTAAGCAGTTTATCTCGCAGAGATAAAGTTCCTGAAAAGAAACGTTAAACTACACGCATCTCTTGTTACGATAAATATCTATTTCTATTCTAATGCAAATTTGTTGTTCGTATTTTAACGTATTTTGTTTAATTAAAAAAATGTTTAACCCCTGTAAGATAATTTATCTAAATTATGCTTTTTTTTTACTCAAGCTCCATCAGCGCAATTAATCTAAAAGGAAGTAAAAATATTCAATGATTAATTGATGAGTTGCTGACCACCACCTCTGGCTCAAATGCATCACAATCTATAAAAAAAGAAGATATCATCGAACGAATTTTCGAGGAACTGTTGAACAATCGTCGTATCAGTAGTATTCCAAACATATGCTGGTACCTATCAATTAATTATAAGTATCAAAGAATGATGGTACGTTTAAGAAATAATTGTATCTTCATGACTATATAAGTTATTATATATGATGGAGGACGCGAATGCTGAAATAATTCGATTAGCCAATAAGAATAAAGAAATCGAGTAGCAACTTTGGAAAAGTTTTAAAGAGCGAGGTGCAAACGTCTCTTCCGAACATTGTTACTCGACCAGAGTCATCGTTTTTATGTAGTATTTCATGACTTACCATGTCAGTTCCTAAATCGATGCAAAGAATGGTGACGGTACCCAACGGCAAAGGGATGTCGCAGAGAATGAATGCCAGGAAAGGCGAGATTTCGGGTATATTCGAGGTCAGGGTGTAGGCGATGGACTTCTTTAGGTTGTCAAAGATCAAACGACCCTCCTCCACGCCTGTTACAATCGAAGCAAAGTTGTCATCCAGTAAAATCATGTCGGCTGCTTGTTTGGAGACGTCCGAACCAGCGATGCCCATAGCGACACCAATGTCGGCTTTTTTCAGAGCAGGCGAGTCGTTGACACCGTCGCCTAAATAAATTAAATTTATCGGATTTATCCAATCAAAAACAATTCTAGAAAGCTTTTAATTCTAAGTGAACATTTTCTTCGTAGTACCAAGTAAAAATTTTTCGCGTACGCGCATGTGTGTGTTGATTTGCCTTCGAGTAACTTACCAGTTACAGCAACAATCGCACCCATTCGCTGGCAGCCTTCGACGATGATGAGCTTCTGCTGAGGGGAAGTACGGGCGAACACAATTTCGGTGTGGTACCTGAGAATCTCGTCCAATTGGTCGGAGTTCAGTTCCCTGAGTTCGGTTCCGTGAATGACCGCGGCTTTAGCCTCGCGAGGATTTACTTCGGATACTGGGATATTTAACCGTTGTGCAATGTCCTCAATGGTTTCGTTACCTAAAAAGAAAGATGGCAATAAAATTGAAATAGATGAAATAAATGAAAAAATATTAATTACTACATAATTTTTACAACGCAAACTCAGTATTAGCCTCCAATAAAACTACCCCAAATTCCGTATACAAATGAGATCGTTGTAAAATCATAAGCGCGGTCTATATATTATCTGAAAAATTACACATCTCATTAAGAGATTAAACTCATAAAAGTATCATAATCGAGATGAGTGAATAAAGCTTCGAAGATCTCGCGGCTACAATATCTAATCTCGAACATCATCCGAGAGAATCATTAACGTGATAAAGTCGACTCATAACGTGCAAAATACCTTCAGAGATGATGCCGACGGATTTGGCAATGGCTTTGGCAGTGATCGGGTGGTCACCGGTAACCATGATGACCTTGATGCCGGCGGACCGGCATTTGGCGACCGCGTCGGGTACCGCGGCCCGAGGCGGATCAATCATAGACATCAGGCCTACGAAACGGAGTCCATCGACTGGGAAATTGGGTTCGTCGGCATTGAATTTGAAGCCAACCGGGAACTTGTCGGACGGCAGTGTGTAATCACAGAAGCCGAGCACTCGTTCGCCGAGTCCGCCCAATTCCAAGTACGCGTTATTGAACGCCTCCTTCATTTCTTCGTCGAGAACCTACGATACGAAAAGTTTAAATATTGAAAAAAGCTACAGATAGATAGATAATTTGTTAGATAAATTACCTTTTCTTTGCCGCCAATAAATATGGTCGAGCACCTGTCCAATATCCTCTCGGGAGCACCCTTCATCACCAAGAGATGTCTAGGATCATTGGGATCGTCCGATTCGTGTATGGATACCTGATATTTATTAGTAGAATTGAAAGGAATCTCGCAGACTTTCTTGTTGCGTTTTCTAATGCCCATGACATCGCCCAACGCCAGTTCCATACATTTGAGCAACGCAGCTTCAGAGGCATCGCCGTTAACTTCTCGCTTCAAAATCGGTTCACCCTCCTGGCCCGGCTTGAACTCGGCACGATTGCACAGGGTCGCAATCTTCGCCAACGCCTTAAATCCTGGACTAGTGCGGTCATATTGCAAGCCAGACTGATCTTCTGTGGTATCGGCGTCGATAATCTGATTGTCGAACCACATGTGCGCCACCGTCATACGATTTTGCGTGAGGGTTCCAGTTTTGTCCGAGCAGATGGTCGAAGTCGAGCCTAAAGTTTCCACAGCCTCGAGATTCTTCACCAGGCAGTTCTTCGAGGCCATTCGCTTGGCGGTCAGAGTGAGGCACACAGTCACAGTAGCGAGAAGACCCTCCGGTACATTCGCCACAATAATACCGATTAGGAAGATGACGGCGTCAAGCCAATGATAACCCAGAATGAAGGCTATGATAAAGAATGTGACGCCGAGGAAGACAGCGACACCGGTAATGAGGTGTATAAAGTGATGAATCTCCTTGGCGATCGGTGTCTCACCGGTATCTAAGCCGGACGCGAGACCTGCGATCCTCCCCATCACCGTCTGATCGCCGCAACAGATCACTACGCCTTTGGCCGTGCCTTCCACCGCATTAGTCGAGAAGAACGCGAGATTCTTCGTTTCGAGCGGGTTCTCGTTCGTGAACTCGGGCGACCTCGATTGCGGTTCAGACTCGCCCGTCAGTGAGCTGTTGTCCACCTTAAATCCACGGGCTTCAATAATCCTGATATCGGCTGGTATCCGATCGCCGAATTTAACCTCGACGACGTCGCCCAACACGAGATCCTCCGCCCGTAGGGTGAGCTTCTCACCCTCCCGGATTACGGTGGCGAATTGCGGCACCATGTTCTTGAACGACTCCATAATCTTGCTTGACTTACTCTCCTGGTAGTACGAGAATATACCCGTGACTATTACGACCGCCGCGAGGACGATGCCCAGATAGAGATTGTCGTCGTTCGGGTCCTCGCTGGTCGAGGCCTGGATCGAGTACGCGATGAAGCAGAGGATCGCGCCGATCCACAATAGGAGGGCGAAACCGCCGAACAGGTTCTTGCAGAACTTGACCCATTCCGGAGTTTGCTTCGGCGGCGTCAGGGCGTTCGGCCCGTCCCTTTCCAGGTTCTCCTTCGCTTTCGCGTGGCTGAGGCCCTATTATTATTTTTAAAGAAATATTATTAATTAGAGTACACATCTCTTTCCATTTCATCTTTCAATCGCTCATTTAACATTAATTAACGCCGTTTTCAACTAATTTTCATTTTAATATTTTTCCATTTGTACTTTATTCCACTTTTGCAGAAGAGAAACTATCTGTAATATTTCGATCTTGTATCAAGTCGCAGCGGTCACATGTTAATATCGATCGATGCACTATGCGATCTCGAATTGAATCTATTTCTTCGAAAGAAAGATTATCGTCCCTTATCGCATGATGTTATACTTACGTTTTCGGGGTGCGTCTGAAATCTTTGATACAGTTCCTCGGGTGAGACTTTGTGGAAGTCAATATCCAACTCTTGCTTCAGGTCATCTAGGTTGTCCCCCCTCCGCGCTTTTGGATTCTTCCGCCGCGACTGTTAACGAGAACAGACAGAAAGAAAAATAGCGTTATCGAAAGATATTTTCTGATAATATCTTCCTTGTACACCGACGATGTGTACACGACCTTAATATAACTACAATTACAAAGCGATTATATTGTATTACCGCGACGCGTTAATCACCATGATACTCTGATAACTGACAACAAAGTAGAAGAGAAATAGAAGATTATCAAAGCGTGTCGGATTACAAGAGTCTGCAAAGAGATTGAAAACCCAGCGACGAGTGAGAATATAGCCTTTGTAGCAGAAGAAATCGATTGCAACAATATCGTCGAAAAGCAAGGTGAACCGAACCGTAATGATATCTCGATGATAAGATGAGATAGAATTGCACTAGAATGATAGGAATGTTTTAGAGTCAAGTAATGTCAGCGAAAATAATTGATAAATATAAACTAAGTTTCAGTGTGGAATGACGAAACTATAAAATAATGTAAAGTATTTCTCGAGCATTCAGTTAAGTGAGGACTCCTTGTCTTTTATTGTATAGATATTTGGTGTAATCTTATCTCACCTTACTGCACATTGTTATTAAATAAAGTATACAAAGCTTTCTTTTTTAAGAGAATATAATGTTGTCACGTCGATCGAGTCAATTGAAATGCGATTATAACGCTGTTCCAATCGAGACCTGAACCACGAATAAATAAAATTCTTTTCTCATGCGTTAAGATAATTACGATCACATAAAACTGATATCAAAGTGAAAATACGAAAAAGCTAAAGATCTGAAAGTGTGTGTGTGTGTAATAGCAGAAGGAAATTTCCTTCGAGAAAACTCCGATCGAGGCATAGATAAAAGAAAAGCATTACGGCGATAGACGTTATTACCATGAAGAGACGATGGAATTATAGAGATCAGCGTTAAAGAAAACGAGAAATGGAAAGAGAAAGAAGAGAGAAGGAGAGAGAGAGAGGTAGAAGAAAGATAATAGAAATAAAGAGAAAAGAATGGAAGAAACGTCCCGTTTATCCCATCTGCTGGTCAAGAAAGAAGCATACCGGACATCCCAGATATGTTAATCATATAGAATTCGTATGGAAGCATAAGTCCATCTCTGAATATACCTTGTACATCCCATCTGCGGTTTTGTTGTCGTCACGAATGTTGGGTAACGTGGCGACCCTGTACGAGTCTGAGCGGCCATGCTGTAAAAAATGGGCGATAAAAAAATCATGAATAAATCATGCGGGCATAATATAACAAAATATGAACAGTCAAAATAAATATACGGGGGTATATATGGCAAAATTATAATTTGAAAAAAATGATGATGTGCGAGCCGAGATAGCGCCGTTTTTTGTGTTTCTCACATAGATAGGTGACATCTACGATCGCGCGAATAAAACGCGTAATGTATATGGTAGGATCAAGAAATTCGTTTTCTTATGGAATCGTCGATCTCTCATTGCTCTAAGCTGCCTCCATGTTAAATTGTCCGCTTCAAATTTTACATATCGCTTTGAAAATGGACTAAGACCTGATCTACAATGTGTGTGCTCTTCGCTTCCTATTTCTGACTTTTTACAACTTTTCATCTTTTTGCTTCTTATCCTCTGTTTCTTCGTTTTCTAACGCCCGAGATAAAGGTTAACGAACTTTGGCAGAGACAAGAAACACGCACTATGAAACACGATTATCACTAAAACGGTCGTAAAGAGGGAAAAAGGCAAGAAGTAAGAAACAGGAAGCAGAGAGCACATTGTAAATTACACTTAATGGTATTGTCATCCATTCGGATGGCGCCGCGATTCACGTCACAAACGATCCGAATGGACCAGTTTTCTCACAGTGCTCGTACCAAGCACAACTACGACCTTCTTGAGAGAGAGAGAGAGAGAGAGAGAGAGAGAGAGAGAGAGAGAGAGAGAGAGAGAGAGAGACGGCGAGAGAGACAGAGAGACACGTGGCCGGCGCGCATTCGACACGTGACGTCGGTGAGAGAGACGTTCGCGGTGCGCGGAACAGAGGCCCGATTTTCAAGAGCGACCTCGGTACGACCGCGTTCGGATAACGACCGCTTCCGGTAGTGCGTGTCGGTTGAATGGAGACACCACTCGCCATCGTCCGCTATGCTCAATGCAGAATGCTCAATGGTATCCCGTAATCGCGATTACGAGCTAGCCCACGACACACGTTCCGGCTTAACTTTTAACTCTACAAATTAAGATCGTTTTATATAGTCAAGCGAAAAAATATATAGCCACGTAAGAAAAGGAATTGATTGACAAAATATCAAGTACACGCTCTTCTTGTGTGCACATCCATATGAGACTCGACCTTATTTCTTATATAAATTGATCGCGAATGAATGTGGACATAGCGCGAAATTAGTTTGTCTCTTGAAATGTAACACAAATGTTTTCTTTTGTAATGTAAACGTTTAACGAAAGAAACTATAAAAATAAAAAGCAAACGAGAGTAAATGAGTGAATCGAACATATACATCGCCTTGTTTCTACATCGTACATCGCAGAGTTCGTAGCTACATTCCGTTCCGAAGAATATTAATAAACAGTCAATTATTGACACGTGCAGCTTATCGTGTGGTAGTATCTTCGAACGCTATCGTCTCGACCATGAAAACCGACGATATTCTCACGTACCGGATGGACTAACTAACGAAATGCGAGACTCGTGACGCGCGGACGCGCTTACACGAGCGCAATTGCCGCGCGCGGCCGTTAATTCTGTCACGGCGCGGGCGGTTCGTTACGACCGTCACGGCGATTAGATAAAAGACCAACGAGCCGGCAAATCGACGGTTACAATCGTAAAAATGTAACTCCGACTTTGTGCGTAACACGTCCGGTCTGCCGTCTGCAGAAGGTTCGCGCCATCCGCCGTCGCGTCGCGTCGTTGGCTCGTATACGTAAACGATCAATTTCATAGGTATCATTACCTCTGGCCCATCGTCTCTCTTGCTCACGTCGTCATTGAGGAAGCACGATTATGCAATTTTACGGGTCACATATGCACCTCGCTGATTGTCGTACACACACACACACACACACATATACAATCGCCGGCGGTACGCGCGTGTGCCATTCGTTGCGTAAAATGCATTGATAGAAGTAAATAAACAAGACATCTTTTCAACTTGATCTTTAAGAAAAAAAAAAAAAAGAAATAAATTTATTCGACAATAAACGCTTGCGCGAAATTGCGAAATTAATTTGACTTTCTTTCTCTTCGTGCTAAATTCACTCGCACTAGTTTCGCATTGAAGAGCATCGAGCGCGTCTCCGTAGGCGCAGGATGAACGCGATTTCGACCTTATGCTAATTTGCACGGGTCGGTATCATTTACGAGTTCACGGGTCGAGTTATAGAATTGGCTTGCTAGAAGCGGAAGTGGTCGAGCTTTGGCGACGAGCAGGAAAACGCGTCGAGTCTCGGCGATTAGATCGCATTCTAGGACTGCATTCGTTACGCAGCCCTTGATACGATTTCGCATCCTGTTTCATATTGCGTATTTTTATTGAGTAACAACAAACGATATCATACTCGTATAAAGTAAGATTTAATTTTTATGCCAAATTGAATTCTACGCTCTGTAAGTTTTTACGCGATATAAAAAAAATCGAGTGAAAAACAGACAGACCCCGGCACTTCTCTTTCAAAAAGATTACATTCATTCGTTTCATTCGTTTGTTCGTCCTCGCTTGTTTAAATTCGGCTTTGCAATTAAAGAGAAATATAATATTCTTATCTTTTTAACTAAGTCACGCACCATTAATTAATAATCCTGAGTAATATATTTTCATTTCGAGTAAAAAATATTTAACATTGTAGATCTAATTGATAAAATGATGTATATATCTCTTACTTCGCCCAGTCTTATTTCTTCAAATCAGATACAACTATATTTAACGGATCATAAGCAATACGAATTCTTGAAATTTATTCGGGGGAAACGAGCGCACGATATTTCTTTTACAGTTGCATAAAGGCATTGACTTAAGGCATTAAGGATTAACTTCCAACGATCGCGCCACGGCGCCGGCGGCGACGTCGGCGTCGACGATAATCGCGACGACGCGGTAATAACGGCGCCGCGTGAGGGTCGACGTCGCGTGTCGTTGCCAGGATCGACTTAAAACGTGTTGAAATCCTTTACAGCGTAAGCATTACGATCCGTTAACGCAAGATACAGAGATTAAAGTGCAATTTTACGGTTAACACGCTATTACAATCAACGCGCACATTTTTTATGTAAATCTTTTTATCTACATACGTATGAAATAAAATTAGATTTTCCATTTTAGTTCACGAGCTGAATCTATTTCAACAACAGACCGTCACCAAATTGCGGTAGACTTAAATCCCTTTCACTCTCTATTATTACCTAAACTTCTCGAGAATTTCAGACACGAAATACCCACATTCGAAGCGTGATTTTGAAGGACGATCTATAATCTATTTGTCGGTTAAACTAGGCGATGATACCATACCATTCAGGTTGATACCCGAATGATAATTTTCATATCCATCTCTCTCTCTCTCTCTCTTTCTTTCCCATTTCGTTCCACTTTTCTCCCTATTCACCCCTCTGTTTTTTTCTCACCCTTGTTCGCTCTCATTCTCTCTCTCTCTCTCTCTCTCTCTCTCTCTCTCTCTCTCT